AGAACAAATGCTTCAGTTTCATGCCCAGAAATATAGTAAAGCTATTAAAGAATGAAGTTGACTTCTCAATTCTGCCAAGAAAACAGACCAGATTCACTTCAACAAACACTGATTCAAAGTCTAAACCAATGAGATTTCAGATTCTTCCAAGTAGCTAAAGTTCTTTTATAGGAGAATCATAGTCTAAAAATAATGAACTGCTTTGGGGCCTGCTTGGGGCTGGCATAATAGGGCCACTTATAACAGAACTGGAAGGATCCTTAGCGGTCATTAAATCTAGCCTCCTCATTTTACAGATGAGGAAACCAGGGCCCAGAGAAGTTAGCTGTTTTACACAGGGTCACAGAGTAAGTATAGGAGATGGGGTTTCTGATTCCTGATTCCAAATATAACACTCTCTACTACACTAAACTCCTCATCTGGGACTAAGGCATGCTAGGTTTAGTTTTGTTGGCAACCTGGCCTCTAATGCAGAGAGTTGGCCTCCCTTTTCTTATACTCTTCAGTTTGTTAAATCTATGCTGTATTGCCCCAGAGGAAAATTATTTCAAACTTAGGCTAGTGCATAGGGTTTCTCAAAAGGAAGGGTTAAAAAGGTATTTAATGTCCAGCATGAATGAGACATAATATTTATTTCCTACACACAAAAGCAATGCTCATACAGAACCCTCACATATTTATATTTGATGAAAATGAAGTTAAAATGGGATCTAGCACCAGTTTCTAACTAGCATTACAGTCTGTTGTGAGGTTGATACCTAAACATCATTAGAACATAAAGCAGTTTGTGGGATTACTGATTAGGTATTTTACATTTGACCTTAGTTCTTCCCTATTCAAATAACTTGTAGATCATGTTTGCTGGTAAAATGGTTAGACTGTGGGTCAGTGTTCTTATCAGTGACTGTCCTCTCCAGAAATGTTGGAATAATTACTGGTGAATTATCCCCTTGACATCATTTAGCTCTAACTCAATGGAACCCAATATCATCAGACATCTCAAACTCACAAGTTCATCTCCAACCCTGGGCATATTAATCTAAGAATGGATTCTTGTTCACCAAAGATCAAGTAAAAAGAAATACTGTTATTTGACCAAAATCACTCAGGTAGTAAATAACAGACAGGGTTCAAACTAAAGTGCTTGATTCCAAATCTAGTGTTCTTTTCACTATGCTATTCTTTGGCAAGATATCACAGCGCTCACTTATAACAAAATGCAAAATCCCTTTGGGTATGGAAGTCTGAGCTATAGATTTATATAAGATTAGTAGTTGATTAGGGGGCAACTAGGTGGAACAGTGGATAAAGCCCTGGACCTGGAGTCAGGAAAACCTGAGTTCAAATCCAGCCTCAGATACATATCAGTTGTGTGATCCTGGGCAAGTCATTTAACCCTGTTCGCTTCAGTTGCCTCATCTGTAAAATGAACCAGAGGAGGAAATGGCAAACCACTTCTGTATCTTTGCCATAAAAAAACTCAAAAACCCAGATGGAGTCAAAAAGAATCAAAGATGACTGAAATGACTGAACAATAGTAACAGTAGTTGAATACAGATTGAAAATATCAAAGCTATGAGATATTTACAGAACCCCATTTACAAAGGTGATGGTCACTGGGTTTCTTCAAAGAGCACTTTCAGCCTTCTAACATCTCCCTCTATCCGTGAAACATAGTATGGTAGGTAGAAAGTAATCCCAGAATCCAATTTCATTAAATGCCAACTTCGCTCAAAGTCACAAATGTAGTAACCAGCAAAAGTAAGATTTGAACCATGTTGGGCAAGTTCCTACCATGTCATGCCTGTGCTATTTCAAAAGCCTTCTAGTTGGTCTCCCTGCCTCAGATATCTCCTCATTCTAGTCCATTTTCCACTCAACCTGTCAAATTGATTTTACTAAGAGCAAGTCTGACCATGTCCCTCTCCCCCATTCAATCAACTACAGTGGTTCCCTATGGTCTCCAAGATAAAATCTTTTTTTTTTTTGCCTTTTCAGTCTCTAAATAACCTGGCCCCTTCAGCTTCTTTCTAATCTTTTTTGCTCCTAATACCACCTTATAATAATCTCAATAATCAGCAATCCAGTGACACTGGCATCCTTATTGTTCCTTGCATTAGACACTCCATCTCCCAACTCTAGGCATTTTCACTTACTGTCTGTCATGCCTGAAACACTCTCTCTCCTCATCTCTGCCTCCTAATTTTTCTAGATTCCTTCAAATTCCAGATAAAATCTTACCTTCTGCTAGAAGCTACTCTGAATCCCCCCATGATGCTAGTGATTTCATTCTGCTGATTATTTCCAATTTATCCAATATATGTCATCTTTGTGTGTAGTTGTCTGAGTGATGTCTCTGCAATTAAGCTCCTTGAGATCAGAGACTGAATTTTGCCTTTATTTATTTGTATTCCAAGTGCTTAGAACAAGAACATAGTAGGTACTTAATAAATTCTTGTTATTAACTAAAACAAGGTTCTCTGACTCCAAAGTCAATACTATTTCCACTGTACTAATTCAATTTAGCCAAACATTTGCTAAGTGTACTACATGCCAAACACTGTGATAGGTGTTGGGGATACAGAGACAAAAATGAAGTAATCCTGCTAGACCTGTGTGATCTAGTTCAAATGGCTCTAAATGTATGCTGAATAATCATTAGCATATTTGACATATATATATATATAGATTTTAAGGTTTGCAAAGTACTTCACAAAATTACCTTATTTGAAAAAAGATGTAAAATCAAGGGAATTAAGAGTTATTAATATTGTTTTTATTATTAATAAAATTATTGTCAGTCATTAAATCACTGCAACAACCTCAACAATGAGCAAAGGCCCATTTTGTGTTTGTCATCCCTAACTATACCTGTGGTTGAAGATTTCTTTCTAGGTTGACAAATCTATTGACACCCAGAAGATAAACTAATAATATGGAATAGGAAAATGAAAGACTTATGAGAGGTTCTATTACTGATGACATTTAAGTCAACTCTTTTGCAAAGATGATGTTGAAGATAGTGGCCCAGTCTCCATGGAATCAACCCCTTAACTATAGCACACAATATATTGTGAAGAAGATAAGGTTAGGAAACATCTTACCTTCACACACACACACACACACACACACACACACACACACACACACACACACCCCTGGTGAAATAGAAGATTTCCTTCCCTCAGGCCAAGTTGTGAAACATACTGAACCTACTATGAGGTTAGATATGTCTAAGGCCAAATGAAGGGAAAACAGTTCCTTTTCTATTGAAAAGTCATGGATTGATTGGGTTAGTGAGGCAAGTAAAAATGAAAAGAAGTGTATGTCTGCACAATAAAGTCCTTGAAGATTTTCGTGTTATTTCAGGGAGACAACCATAAATCCTTGCTCCTTAAACAGTATATTCCCTTATCAGTTGGCTCTCAGGTTCTTGGTCGGCCCTGATCTTGGCCAAGTAACTGGACAAAGTGGGCATGATGCATAGTAAGTGGGTGGGTGGAGTGCAGAGAACATCTGTTATAGCTGGGCAGAGAGCAGGAGGCCTGGGCAGGAAGAGAATCCAGTTAGCCGGAGATAGGGAAGACCAAGACAGCTTCCCAAGGAAGTCCTAGTTCAAAAGCCAGCTCCACACTCTGCTCTGGAAAAAAAAGGTAAAGAGCATTTTCTCATCCTCTCACCACTCAATTACATAGGATGGCTTCCAGGTCCAAGACTCAGCTCCCCAATCCCTGAGCTTTCTGGGCGGATCGGTCTGATTGGCTAGTAAGCCTGCCCATCACAGAGCAGGGTCTTGGAAAGTTTCATTCAAGGTGGAGAAGTGTCGGGGGAAAGAGCACAATTGCAGCCGTGTATTAGCTTCGAGGGGCAGCGGACAGCTGCAACAGCAGCATTAGCAGTGACAGGAGAAACAGAAGATTAGGAGGAGTCAGCGGACTGGTAATTTGGATCGGTTTTTTTTTTTTTGTCTTTTCTTTTCTTTCTTTCTTTTTTTTCTTTAAAGGGAATGAAAGCGGACAAATCAAGCAAAAGCCTGAAGCTATTAGCTATGTAAATAAACTCTCTTTTTGCCCGCAATCTTGAGAGCCCTTTGGACTACAGATTCAAAACAATAACACAGTAAATCAACTAATAATGCAAAGCCTATAGTGTCTGGGGATGGTTTTGCTCTGTTGGCTACCGAGGTCTGGGTCTTTCTGGACAGAGGTTGACGGCGTTGCGACTTCGGTCTATAGTGCGCTCCGGAGCTCCTCGGCGTGACGGGTCTTGAGCAAGGGATTTCTGGAAGGCGGCTGGGTAGCCCCGCGCTCCAGCTCCAGAGACTCCTGACCTGTTTGGGTAGCGGGGCTGCGTGCTGGGCAACGAAACTTGCTTGGGGGTGGGTGGGGTGGGGACCGAGAAAGGAGGCAAGGGCAGGCGAGGAAAGCGTGCGGCTTCCGAGGGTATCTTCCCCTCAAAAACGCCTTCTCTTTTATGAACAACTCCAAAGAAGAAGGAAAAGAGGAAAGCACTGACTTTTCAGTACCCCTACCTCACCCCCTCGGGAAAACAAAACAAAACAAAACAAACGAAAACATCACCCAGGCAAACTCACATCAATCAAACAGCCCATTACGATCCAACTCCAGACTCCAAAGGACACCTTGAAGAACACTGACTTGGGATTTTAAATTAATTCATGGGCTACTCTTTCGATGTGGGGCGTTTACTGAGGTGTCTGCTGCAGAAGGTCTACTGAGAGAGGGAGAGAGAGAGAAGAAAAGAGCAAAAGGCTGGCGAGAGAGAGAGAGAGAGAGAGAGAGAGAGAGAGAGAGAGAGAGAGAGAGAGAGAGAGAGAGAGAGAGAGGGAGAGAGAGAGAGAGAGAGAGGGAGAGAGAGAGAGAGAGGGAGGGAGAGAGGGAGGATGTTTGACCAAATGAGATTAGTATCAGGCAGGACCACCTAGACTGTCATGGGACTGTCCTCGGGGCAGTGACTTAGCCTAAGCTTTGTGTTCTTACTGTTGTGGCCGCCTGGTTCCCGGGTTCTCGTCAGAAGTGCCCCCGAAGCGATGGCCTCAGAAGTGGTCTGTGGACTGATCTTCAGGCTTCTGCTCCCTATCTGCCTGGCAGTTGGTGAGTAAATCCTTGAGCATTGTTTGCGGGAACGGGCCTAGGAAGAAGTGTGTACTTCTTGGGGGGGGAGGGGTGACATCTATATAGTCTTGACCACCAACCAGTGGTCTTGGAGATAAGAGGTTGTGAGTCATTCTGAGGACTTTATTTCGCAAGGGTTGGATTTGGGGAAGCAGCTGTCATTGTTAACATGTCCCCAGCCCAGATGTTCTCCAGCTGGGACTTTCCTACCTTCCGCACTGGCAGAATCCGGGTTCCACTTGACTTTACTTTCTCTTAAACTTTCTGGTTGAGGAGTTTGAACTGCCAAGTTTTATACTTTACATTTTGTGCCTAGGGTCTTCTAGAGTCAATAACACGTAGATTTTATATCGTGGAATACTGGCTTCTAGCACACAGGGTGGAAATCTAAGTAGGGTTAAAGACAAAAATGACGATATTGCCTTGTAGATTTTCATCCTTTTCCAAAGGCTTCTATTTGCCCAGGGATAACATTAATAATGACATGCATGTCACCTACCCTCTTACTCAACCAGGTTCCTTACAAAAACTGAAAAACCTTAAGCCCCACAGAGAACAGAAAGTGCAATGTGTGTGTGCTATATTGGGCATAAAGGAGATATGGAGTTGTCCTACCGTAAACCTTGCATTTTCTCTGAGGGAAGCTTTGTAAATGCAGCAGTACCAAATCTTTAACTATTTCGATATAGATGGTACAACCTCTTAAAGGAAATCATCCTTCAGCTTTGAAAAATTGAAGAGCCTCCTGTTCTGGAGAGAGTTTCTCTGTTCTGTGATACAGTAATGGTGTTGTACTGAATTGTAACCCCTCCAGTCAGTCAACTAATGGTTGGTAGAGATGTGTTTTATCTTCCCAACTAAAATTCTGATATAGAAAACCTTTAACATACTATTGCATTTTAAATAACAAATATTTTCTAATGGAAAGATAGTAGACTTTCTGAATGTCATTGTTCTGCCAGAGACAAATGCATCAATATCTCTTCAGTTCTTTTCAAGTTTTGTTTGTGTTTGTTTCAGTAATTTGGGTGAGTGGTGGGATAAAACACCTGGGTGCTTAAAGAGCAGTGATTGGGGTTCATCCCACTACTTCAAGAATTATAAACTTCAACTGCCCTGAGTTTTGGAGGGCAGTAAGCATTTTCCTGACAACCTGGGAAAGCTCCTAGAAAGCGGGATGCCAGGAACCTCCTGGAATATTTCAGAAGTCACCAGTTCCTTCTTTGCACTGAGACCATTGATTTTCAGTGCTGGTCCATTTCTTCAGATTTCATATCAGTCTGATTGACAGACAACAAAGCTTTGCTTAGATCTCTTTTCTTCTGAATAATTTTACAAATTACTTTGAGATGATGATGAGTATGATATGGGCTTTGACAAGCTTTTTTTCATGTCTTTTTGTTTTTCTGTAGAATGTATGGAGGTAGTGGAGAGGGAGAGGTTGAAGTTTTCAGAATCCGAGGAATTAAGACCTTGCTTTTTACTTTCTTCTGTTTTGTTACACACACACACACACACACACACACACACACACACACACACACACACACAACTGACCCACATCACATTGTTTTGTATTTTCAACTGTTAGAAAAAATTCAGACTCAGGTTTCGGAGGGGGGGGATGTTGGTGTGTATATGTGTAGGGGGAAGAGGATGAGGAGATGACTTCTTGAGGAAAGGAGAGGAAATTTACTAAAAGCTGCTTCCACCTTAATTTTCTTCACATTGCTCCCTAGTCAGTCTCTTTTTCCTCTCTCTCTTTTTTTTTCCTGTGACGTTGGAGTATGTTTTATGTTCTTTGATAAGAGAAGGCAATATTTGCTCTGGGCACCTTGCAACAAGATGGAATTAATTATTTGAGCTACCACCGCGCAGGAAAAACACCTGCTTTGACACAGAATCTGTCACTGTTCCTCTTCCCTCAAAGTTTTTGCCTTTTCAGGTAAATGGGACGTTAATGAACATGGGCATAGTTAAGGGTTACGATTAACATAGTTAATCCATAAGATCTTGAGGGCCTAAGTGATCCAGAATGTCTGTCTATTGATTATAGTATTGATTATCTTTCCCTCTAGTCTGCATTGCGTTTGGAAACACAGCTAAAGAAACTTTGCATGAAGCAAGGAAAGATTCTGGGATAATAACCTCTGGCTTGTTTAAGTGCCTCTGAGGAAAGAGCCTGCCTGGGAGAAAAGCTCTCAACCATCTCTTTTCCCCCTCTCCCCAAGCTCAGGCAAATTGGGCGGTGAACTTGTCTTAGGAGTTAGAGCAGGCACTGAGTGAGTCTAGGCTCTGTGTCTCTCAGAGAGACCGTTGTGAAAAGTACCTAAGGATTTGCAGGCTTGGTAGGTGGGGTGCCTGACTAGTTGATGCTCCTCAGCCCGTGGTTTCTCTTTGCTTCAGTTTCTGGGCTGCAGAAGGGCGTAGAGACACTGCCGGGGGGCGGGGGCAGGAATATCCTCTGGACAGCTCGGAGACCCTGGCCTTACAACTGAGGTGAAAGCTTGGAAAACTAATAGCAGTTTCAAAAGAGCCCCCCACTCTCCTCTCCTTGAGTCTCTTCTGGGTTTCCCAGCTTATGCACAGCCGGGCGCTTATGCACAGATGTTTCTCTGCTTGTCCCTTCTCCACCCTCCTCCGCTTCCTGACCGTCGAGGCACACAACACTCGTCCACTACTGCCCCCGATAGGGCAAAGAGCCTTCAGCAATCCTTCCTTTATCTCCGCGTGCCAGGGGCGGGACTGGGCTAAGGGGGGAGGGGGGCAGCTTTCTCAGCTGAGTCACTGGAAGGCACTCCAACAACCATTTCTTTGGGGGTGAGCTGAAGAGGGTGGGGTACACTGGGAGATCCTGGAAGAGTGGCGCTGAAGAAGTGTCTGGACCTAACCTGAACCTCGCAGGTGCGCTACTAAAGGGACTGGTAGATTTGTCTGCAACTGCTCATCGTGTCCCGTTGATCTGCATTTGAGCATAATGAAGTGACTAACTACAAAATTAAACACTCTAATTGCTGTGTTCATATATTGTTATTATTCGGGGATTTTGGGGGGTGCATTGTGCATCCTTCTTATTTTAAGGGCTTAACTTGTACGGGGAGTGGAGCGAGAACAGATTTTCAAGGTTATTGTAGAGATTTTAGTTCCACCTACTCCCGAAGTGCCACTAAATCAAACATTCAGGTTTCCCCTAATATCCTAGGCAGAGATGTTGCAATGATATGTTTGCTATTAGAATCGATTTTACATTTTAAAGTCTATTTTTATATCTGCAAAACAGGCAGCAAAGCCAAATATTTTCAGAACCATACTAATCTCTACTTTAAATCAACCTCTCTAATGGGTAGTAGTGAAAATTCGTGCAGAAACAGGTTTTAATTTTTCCCTTCTAAATACCAAATGAGGAAAAACCCAGCTATTTTGTTAAGTGTGCTTGAAGACTCCTATACCTCCCCTTTTTCCTTTCACACAGGTTTTCAGATAAATTTAGGTAAGATTATCTTCCTTATTTACATGATACGTAGCTCTTGCTATATACATATTTGGTTCAGACCTGTGATATTTTTGATCAAGATCAGTCTAAGGAAGGACACTTTCTCTAGCAGTGTAGATCTGAAAATGTCCCTCAATTTATAGTCTTAAAGATATACCACAGTCACTAGGGCTCTAAGAGATTCCATGACTGGCACTTAAGGTGACATGGCTCTTATGTTTCAGAGGAGAGATAGGAACCCAGGACTTCCTAACACAGAAAACAGCTAAGTGGCCACACTACTTTTCTCTCTGATGCAGAATCACAATGTGATTATGTTCTTTACAATTTAGCATATTGGGAGCAAAATATTACCTCTCCATTATAAATGATACACTGTAAGTGCTTTATTATAAAATTTTAGATAGAAAAATCATCTAAAAGTTAGCTTAAGTTAGAATCTTAACTTAGTATCTTAGAGCTTCTCTCTGTTACAATTTATACACAAAGAAATTGAGGCCATGAGAAGAGAAATGATTTGCCCCAGAAAAGGCAACTGTTTAGCTACTGACAAAACAAAGACTAGGACTCAGGCCTTTCCACTTCTGTCTTTTCTTAATACACACACACACACACACACACACACACACACACACATATACACTTATATAGATGTAACCTGGGGGGGGAGCAGGGTGGAGATACCAATATGCAAAAAGCTTCAGACTTGATACTCGAATTCCTTGAACAGCTGCAGCCTCTCTTCCCCACTAAAGTTTGTATAAATATCAGTTATGTGCAATCTATAATCCTGCCCTTCATATAAAAAAAGATGCTGCTGACCCATGTCAGTCTACCTCATACTCAAAGTTGTTTTTCTTGTGTCTGTGAGGGATTTGTGCTGATCTTCCTGTGCTCACTTGATCTGAGACTGATGCTGGTGCTTGGCCTGGAGTCAGGAGTACTTAAGTTAAAATCCAATCTCAGATTCTTACTTGCTCTGTGACCTTGGCATGCCACTTCATCTCTGTTTGCCTCAGTTTCCTCAATTTTTAATTGGGATAATAATAGCATCTACTTCTTAGGGTTGTTGTGAGGATCAAATGAGATAGTATTTGTAAAAGGTGCTTGGCACAGTGCCTGCCACACAGTAAGCATTGCAAAAATGCTTATTCCTTCACCCTCCACCATCTCTTATGTAGACCAATTTCTACTTATCTACATATACTATTTCACTTGAACTATCAATAATACTCTCATGCTTAATCACCTTCATGACTAAGGATAGTAAGGAAATAGTTCACCTGAGGTCATAGAATACTTATGCAGAGGGGATAGAGCCAGTGAAGTGACATCATTGGTGGTGTGATCCAACCAACACAGAAGAAATAACAAAAGAATTGTAAGAATAATCAGGTAAAATAAACAAAAAAAATCACCTATGTATGAATAGCCTTGCAAGTGTAATAATTTTCTGTAGCTTCCTTCAGTTTTACTTAAATTTCTA